CATATAATGCACTATTCTTTTTGTTCCCTTTTTCATAAGCATATCTTGTTAATGCAGTGGTTCAGTTGTAGTAATTTCTGTTGGGATCTGCTGTGTACGCAAAATACAACTTGTACCACTGTATACTCACTCATTGTTTTAACACTATAGGAACTGACATGTGAAGACCAGGTGTGCCATCAGATATTTAGGAAGAAAAAATAAAATTTACCAGAAAGCCACACAGATCTTCATCACACTAACATGCTGTTATGTTTTGTCTAAAAAGAAGAATGAAGCCAGATTTGCAATAATTCTTTGACATGGCTATGTGGATGTATTTTGTGCATGTTTATGGAAACAATTCATTTTATAGAAATAGCATCAAACAGTTATGGACATCATAAATTCCTTTGCCTTTCAGTCTGGAGTTAAATAAAAGCAATTGTCTTACAAATAATGGTTTCCTACATTTGTGATTTCCTTTTTGTAACCATTTCCAGAGAAATGTCCTTTAGGAACAAGGTTGAAAATTAACAGTCATAGTTATCTTAACAACAGTATATCTCTCCATGGTGCTGTAATATGATAATATATTTAGATGACTGAGTAAAATTAGATATTCATTGGATTGTTTCTATTTAATTTAGCTCTGGATCACTAAGTTCACAGTTCCAGGCAACAGAACGGTTCACTGAACATGATACATGACCTTTCATATCTAGGTTATTCATTTGAATTTGGCCCAGGTCTATAGCTGCTATATTACCTGATCAATGTCTCATGGCCAATGTGAAATGTTGCAGCTCCTTAATACGGTCCTAACATGGGTCACTGACCGTGCTGCTAGCCTCCACTTAGAACTGGCATCCTACTAATAATCCCACTGGAGAAGTCCGCAGTTTGCAGCAAACTCTACATTCAGGTATTGCTCCATGATGTGAAAACTCAAGCATACTTATGGCTATAAGAGCAAGACTGCAGAGTATAAACAGACAGCACATACACTGTGCCTAAAGAGTACCCAACATGCTCCAATCTTCACCTTTCAGAGACTTTAAAAAGAAAAGTCATTTCCCTGCAACTCTTTTCAGCTTTATTTAAGCTTTTTTAAAAGGATTTGTGTTCTTTGCTAAAGGCAAGTTTAAGTTAACCATGGATGGTGAACACTATTTCAGTAGATGGAAACTGGAATTATTCAACAAAATGTGTGCACACATTCCGCAGAACTGAAGAAGGACTTCAATGACCAAGAGCTCATCTGTTTTTTCCCAACTGTATGAATTATTCTAATAAAATACACTGTCTCTCCTACAACCTTGCCTTGAAGATATATAAACTTTCACATAAACTTTATAATCATTTCAATTCCCTTTTGTCCATAGGTCCCCATCTTCTGTTTAGTGTGGGGGAAGTGGAAATTCACGAAACAGATCAGTGGTAGGGAATTAGCAAAAAGATGTGGAAAAAACCTTTGCAGAAATGGAGGAATGTATCTTTCTCCCCATCCCCACCTGCTGCTTAGCCTACTTTGCTGTCAATAGCTTAGGATAGGAAGGAGATGAGATAGTGTCCCAGCTGAAAACAAGGTTACGTCTTCAAAAACCCAAATCTGATTAATATGTCACTAATACTTACATTGTCATGGGCTTATAAGTGCATACATAGGGATATTTTTTTGAATTGGGCTTTGCTTCTGATAGAAGTTGATCTGGTATCAAACTTCCTGTGCACTTCATCTGAGCAATGTTCTAATGTTAGTTTGCATTGAAGAAACTGCACTTGGAGCTGGTAAACTCATTTTTTCTTATTCAGCCCTGACCTGGACTTCCCAGTGGAAACATTTAATTCCTATTTCTAAGTCTCTGCTAGTTACTAGGCTAAGAAGTACCACAGTTCATTAAGCTTTCAAAATGTTATCAGAAAAAAGTAATCACTAGGAAACAAAATGTGCATGTTTTAATCAGTGACATTTCTCATAGTTGGTTCTTGCCAGGAGTCAGCCTGCACAATGCACAGTTTCATAACTTCACACCAAATCATAAAACAAAGGAAAAGCTTTCAGAGAGCTTTCATTAATTCACAAATGATGAGCTTGAAGATGGAAAGCAAGCATTCTTCAATTAACTTCTTATTATGCTTACTAGCTATATCTAATGGATATGGTTGGGAAGTAAATTAAGGAGGCAATTGGCCACTTGAATAGACTTTGATTAGGATAAAACTGGATCTGACTGTTTTGTTGACAATGTTGGAAATTAAAATTCCAGACTTTTTAATGGGGAGTGAGAAATTGTACAATTTTTTTTACGCTCCAAAACAACATTTTCTTCCTGCACATACTGATATGCAAGAACTTGCAGCATCCTTTACAACTGTATGCACAGAACTGGAGACAGAGGAGATATTCATTATGCTGCATAATAATTACTTCCAAAGGTATACTTGCTTGTATGATATTTGTGATGTTAGGTGGGTCTCTAAGCTGTACAAAGTCCCTTATCTCCTTGTCAGCAGATTAAATACTTGCACTGGAGGAACGGACCTCACTGGTATATCAGAGAATGTTCATTCACATTTTTTTCAGCCCTCTGGCATGCAGTGCTGTCTCAGCTGTTTTGAAGGATTACCATTTGCATTGATTCTTTTCCCTGTAGAGAATATTACTCAAATACAGCTAACAGGAAAGGAATTTACCAGCAACCTTCTGATCCAGAGAACAGAAAAGCCTGTGCTACAATAAAAGCACTTCCTAGTGAGTGCAGTACTGGGCAAAGAGTCAGCACCATTACCTGTCACTGGACTTTTCAAATGACAAAGACAAAGGTGTGTGTAAGAAATGTTTATGGTGGGATTTGTAAAAATCCTCTGCATTGAGACAATTTTTCTCCCTAAAAGTCAACTAGCATTTTCTTATCAACTGTTAAAAAGAGAAAGGAACACTGCAGGCAAATAAAGTTGTAAATGCTCCTACCTATAATGTTCTGTGGCTGGTTCCTAAGATTCTATCTTTCTGCTAAGCTCTGAAGGGTCACCTAGGTACTATGTGCACAGAATGGCTTTCAAATTTTCCATGAATATCCTACGCACTCTACTGATTTGCTGCTTGTGAAAGATGTCTACTCCACTGCCATCTGGCAAAAAGTCTGAGGTGTCTAAATCAGCATTTACTTCAAGACCTGATGCAGACAAATAAAATTACACAAAAAAAAAAAGTTGTTCACATTTATTTGTATTCTTTTTAAGCAAGGGTGCATATTTTGCCTTAGTGGGGAGAGATTAATAGAAAGGATTTCTTCTGAAGGTTTTTTCCCACTAGAACACATTATTTTCAGGTTTAATTTCTGATTGATTTGAAGGGCAGAGGTTGCAGATATTTTAATTTCAGCTTGCTGATTACACTTGTTATGCAGATGGTGAAGATTAGAAGAAATCATTTTGTGAAAATGAGATTTAAAATAAAATTAACCAGACAAGCTTTTCAGTAGCTGCAAAAATTTTGTCAGTTATTCTCTAAATATCACACTTGCTTTAAATATATCTCACACTGCAGTCCTTCAGTCATCATTCAATAGAAATGGGAATGCAATAGATGACAGCACATGTTCCAGAGTTCTTAGACATGGAGGAATCAACGGAAAGATGAGGAGCTTTGCCTTATGTGACAGCAAACAGAGACTCCACTTGGCATAAGAACACACACGTGAAAGGCTGCTGATAAAGGAAGGAGGGCAAACTATCATCCATACCTAAAGACAAGAAAAGAAAGACAGGACAAGAAGTAACAGACTCAAATTGCAGCATGAAAACTTCAGATGGACATTAGGCAACACCTCTGCACTCAAATGATGATGAAGGACTGGAAGAGGCTGTGGAGTCTCTATCGTCCGACCATAGTATCTACTTTCTTCCACCAGCAAATCAAGCTGAGTCTTCCATTGTACCTGTACTAACAATTGACAAAAAGATTGTCAGGACAATCTTGAAGTTATTATATTCTTACTGGTTTTATGAAAAAAATGGCCAAATAGAGTACCTGCAGTAAGAGAAAGGCCACAGCACAAACTCCTATTTACCAAGATCCAGAAAAAAAGCCTTAAGAACCACTGGAAATTCTCTTTACCTCTTTTCATGTTGCTATAATTTGGAATCCTGCTGGTTTTAGTTTAGGTAACAGTCTGTCATAGAAAGGCTTTCTGAAAAACTGATTGACCCTTCACAAAGGCTTTTCCTGTAATCTTAGTTATGACTTCAGAATTAAACCATGGCATGAAAGTTAAATAGGATATCTCTCTGTGAAAGCTGCAAAGGGCATTCCTTTGAACTGCTTTTAATATGTAATGCCCTTAGCTGCCTTTCCTCACTGCACCTGAAGCCAAGCATTTTTCTATGGTTTCTTAATTTTTTTACCCTCTACTTCATTCACTTTTGGATTTATACATATGCACCTTTATACACACATGTTTTTACATTCGGTGGGAAGAGGGGCTCATTGGCCTCATTTGTTAAGAAAATGAGGCATAGGTGTCCACAATATTTGTTTGCTCACACCCCCACAGCTTTTGAACCAGTTGCCCAGTGTAGATTGGCCAACCAAATCTGACAAAGGACGAAGACTCTCTAAGACGTAACTGTTCTACAATTTTATGTGAAAATTAATGGCCAGATAAAATGCCTTCAAGAAAAAGACAGGCTACAGGGTGAACTCATGTTTATCAAGTGCCAGAAAAATCACTTAGGATAAAAACAAGATAAATGCCTGTAACCATGGAAAACCTTTGGCTGGCGTTCATATCTTGATGCCAATGAATTCAACCATGAGACAAAATCCATACAAAACCAAGCTTCAGTAGTTCTGAGTGAGAGATTTCATCCACGACAGCTGCTCACAGCAGTACTTGTTTTATTGACTACCTTATAATATTTAATATTTTTGCTACTTATTCAATTCTCTGATTTGTCTTTTTCGGACTATCTCTAGTATCTGATCACTTGTTTGTTCAAAATGTGATCATTTCTTCCTACATGTGTGTTGAGAAAAAGAACTTTAATAACTGAAGAAGAAGCATATGTTTTTCCTGGAAGCATTCTAAAGCCAAAGATTGCTTAAATTTTCTACTGTCCACTCTAAAGCAATGCTCTTCCAACATACCATCCAATGCAGTAGTTCTAAAACCCAACAAAATACTTTAGCATGTCTTTTCAATATATTGATTCGTTGATTGAAAAAATACCATACTCCATGGTCATACGTTCTAGCTTGATTAGAGAGACTTTGTCAGAAAAGAAAGTAAAGTCTTAGTAAAATTCATCTGGCATGACAAGTGAACCAACAGTATATTCTCAGAATATATAATTTTATCTTTTCTTTACACCTTCTTAATTAAATGTCAACTTTTGAAATAATT